AAGGTGAGACTGAGGAGAAGACTGAAGGCAAGAAGAAAGAGGCATCGAGCTCCAAGCAGAAGGAGAAGACAACGGAAAAGAAGAAGGAAGGTGAGACTGAGGAGAAGACTGAAGGCAAAAAGGAAGAGGCATCGAGCTTCAAGCAGAAGGAGAAGACAACGGAAAAGAAGAAGGAAGGTGAGACTCAGGAGAAGAAAGAAGGTGAGAAGGAAAAGGCATCGGGCTCCAAGCAGAAGGAGAAGACCACGGAAAAGAAGGCAGGTGAGACTGAGAAGAAGCCAGAACGCAAGAAGAAAGAGGCATCGGGCTCCAAGCAGAAGGAGAAAACGAGTGAAGAAAAGAAGGTAAGTGAGACTGAGGAGAAGACTGAAGGCAAAAAGGAAGAGGCATCGAGCTCCAAGCAGAAGGAGAAGACAAATGAAAAGAAAAGGGCAAGTGAGACTCAGGAGAAGACAGAAGACGAAAAGAAAAAGAAAGTGGGCACGGTGCAAAAGGAGAAGACCACGGAAAAGAAGGAGGCAGGTGAGACTGAGGAGAAGACAAAAAGCAACAAGGAAGAGGCATCGGACTCGATGTCAAAGAAGAAGACAAATGAAAAGAACAAGGCAAGTGAGACTGAGGCGAAGACAGGAGGCAAGAAGAGAGGAGCAGAACTGGGAGATCCGACCAAGGAAAAGAAACAGAAAAAGGAATGTGGCGCTGAGCCTGTGACAAAGAGTGTGAAGAAGCCAGAAGATGAGAGGATGGAAGAAGGCAAGAAACGTCCACATGAGAAAACAGAAACAGAGCCGACGGAAAAGAAACAAAAGTTCTCTTCTTCGAATTCACCTTCGACGGATGCTTGGACCAACGACATGTCTGGACTATGAATTTGGTATAAATTAAGGTGCAGTGCTTTGCTCTTTTCAGGGCTCATCCAAATCAGTTTAGGAAGACCTGTCTCGCTTTGAGAAGCTCCGGACTATGCCATCTCTGGACCTCACAACTCCTTCTCGAAAGTTGTCCTTTTCCTCTGAGGCGAGGGTTGACCAAAAAACGGTTTGGTGTGGCGTAAACGAGTTGAACCATTGAACCATGATATCATACATTTTAATAACGATTACACCTGCATTTTGTCTCCAGTCACCACCATCCACGGCTGCATCGAGTCGAACAAAGCGTCTCAAAGTTCCAGATCCTGAGACTTTGGAAAGCATCCAAGCGATGTCTTCCGCGAGTGAGATGCCCAGGGAGGAGCGCAAGAGACAGTACGCAGCTCTAGGAAGGGCAGTGAAGTCTTCATGCAACCCAGCTCTCATTCAGAAGATGAAGATGTGCTCGGACTCGGAGCGGTTCTTTGGCATACTCTGCAAACATATACGTTATATACTGCCTATAATAATGGAGTAGCTTCAGCGGCAATCCAATCTAAGGTTTTCGATGCTCAAGGCATGGATAGCCAATCCAGATTTGAGCAATGTCCAGGTGGAGGAGCGCTATGTATCGTTTGCTGCCAACAAGAGAAAAGATACTTACATTACAGTTTGATGCTAAGTTGTTCCCAGCAAATTTAAACAATTTAAGTTTGCCCAGTTGATTTTTTGAACTGGTCAAGGTGACATTGCTTCAGCTCAAAAAGAAATTCGGAAAGGGAAAGGCTGCCCGGGAGTTCATATCTTCGATCACCAAAGGTTTCTTGGCGTTGTTTGTGCTACTTCACTTGCCCTTCCAATTCTTTCGCAGGGTGATTGGAACAGTAGTGTGTGGCTCAGGCCAAAAAGGGATACCCCACCCGCAGGCCTTGATGGAGTGATGCACCTTCTTGACCAAGCTTTCTTTTCCCGACGTTCTTTCCTGGGCTGGCAGGCGCCACATCTCAAAGATGCCAGAATGTTCAAGGTCTTGGAGTCCGTGATGGAGATTGGAATGAACGGCACATCGCAAACATCCGGTGACTCTTGGCTGACACAGTTCATCAGGGTCATTTCGGGGTCATTTCTGTTAACGCATTCCAGCCCCAGTTTTGAACACTTCCTGAAACTTTGAGGTGTCAATCTCTGGTCGCTGCAGAGATGAGGAAGGCAAGAAGCACATAGCCAAACAATTGGCAAACATCCCCGAGAGCATTCCTAGCTTCGACCTCAAGACGGGCCAGCTGAAGACCAAGAAAATGCCAAAGGAGAAGAGTCCACAGGAGCTTGCTATGAGGGACTTGAAAAGCTTTCAGAAGAAGCAACATGAATCAACTTAGTGGAAAAAAATCTCATGAGATGCATCAATCTTTGTGGGGTGCTTTGATCAAGTTTGCAAGTTGAGATGTGGGATGTTTGTTGGATCTAAGGGTTCAGGGGATGATCAATGATGTTCCCAAGTGCCTCACTGAAATTGAGACCTTCGGGGTCCGCAACTGCTCTGAACTGGCCACTGGACTGAATTTTACAAGGGTCATTCTGCATGAAAGACTTCTTTTAGCATGGGTCGTTGTAAACCTTTGAGTATCTAAGGTCAGGTGCCTGGAGAATCATCAATCCGAGCTGGACGCTCGCATGGATCCGATCCTGTCTATGATAGATACTCCTGTGAGCTCTCTATCCCCAAATGAGGTGGATGACCTGATCACTGGGAGCAAGTTGGCCCTGGCTCCGGCTGATGCTGACATCAAGGACGCAAAGCGTCGCATTGCTGCAGCCAAACCCCGGAAGCCGAAGAAGGGTGCCAATGAAGAAGCTTTTGATTCAGGTTCCTCTGTGTCCGGGGAGGATGAAGGGTGAGAGTGTGACCCTGCAATATCTTTTGGGGTAATGTTTCTTAAATATACCTTGGCCAGTGTGGTGACCTGAATGGTTTAATATGATGTCACATGCAAAACTTACCGATCTGAACTCCAGCTTTGCCGGCACACTGCCAGCCCCAATCTTCCTGTAGCCTCACGCATTGACGCCATTGTTGGCAATAAAGGATGCTTGCCGGGGAACTTTGTGTCGTACATAGGCGTTTTGTTCCATACCAGGGGTCAATAGGTCTCTGGCCGCTCATGATAGCGCTGTAGTGCATCGCAAGTCAGCTTGAGCTGCATTTGGCCCAGCGGGCAAGGTATAACCCCAATCCTTGAAAATGCTCGGCGAGCATCCATTGCAGCTGACGTCGCCTGTGAAGCTCCATGGGCTCCATTGTCTCATGCCCACTCACGACCACGGTCTCTGTCCAAGTTTCTGGTCAAGTCACCACTCGATATACGAGGGTGTCCAGGACACGGTGATGCTGTTCATGCACAGCTTTTTTTTCAGTGGGCCTGTGGCCCGTGGAGCAACGCTGGATCCCGATCCCTTTGAAACCAAGAGGCAGTTCTTGGCTGCTTCGACCTTTTCAAGACCTGTTGCGTGGATGGTGCTGTGTGACCAGCAGGAACCATGCGACATTTTAATTTAGTGATAGGGTCAAAAGGGCCCGCAACCTCGCTCCGTTGAAAGGGAAGGTAGTGAACGGAAAACAATCACTATTCGAGACCTGAAGACTTTCACTTTCGTTTAGTCAATGCAAACATGCATCACGTGAAGTATGTTACAGTATGTTCATAAAATTGGTTATTCTTGAATCCCTGTACCTGGCAGCTTCAATCGGAAACCGAACCGAACACAACACATGTCATTGGACTTCCTTATGAGAGTAGTAGCTCATAAACATTGTGGTGTGACATGCTTAAGCAACCGTTAAGACTGTTCAAACACATCTCAACCATAATGGATTCATGATTAGTCACTTGCAGTGCATGGGTTCACTGTGTGCTGTGATGGCTATATCATGGATCTCGTGGAAGAGTTTTTGACTTTGACCCGGACAGTGCCTGGCTTGCCAGAATATACTTATGTTAAGATGCATGCTCTGTCAATTTGTGTTTTGTGAATAAGTTGGGACAAGGTGAGTGTCACAACCATTGTGTCGCTCTTCATCATTCTTCGAAAGCGAATTCCAGGAAGATGCTTACCGACGCATGACGGCACACTGGTTCCTGTTTAACATGGTTTCATGTCAATCCATAAATCCTCGAACTGACAAGTCAAGGAGAAATCTGAGAGATCTGGTGGACAACCTTAGCTCCAGCAATGAATCAAATTTTCCTCGGACCTTTTGGAGATGGCTCGCCAAACAAAAGTGGCGGGCAATGCTACCACCGCCATTGGAGCACCTCAATTTGCAATGCTGACAGTTTTTTTGGGCATTGGCTTGTATTGAGTGCCTCCTGCTTGATCCACCTGAGGGTCCCAGTTCTTTTGCAAGATCAATCTCGTGAACCGTCAGTATACTTGTCCACCTGGAACATATTGCTTCCAAGTGATGTGAATCTTGCCTTTTTGCAGAGAGATCAACACGGAAGTTTGATTGTTGGATCATTCGTTTATACCTTGACAAACCGAGGATCTCACATATTTACAACTACAGCTTTGACCTGTTCAAGGAGAAGGTGATTGGACCAGACGGTGTGCCTTGATCTGCGAACATGGGAGTGGGATGGGGTGGGGGTGTGCCTTGAAGTTCTTCAAACGTTGTAGAGTCTAACCATGATTGGTAAGGCGATCCGGGAATTTTGGGACCGCCACAGAAGCACTGCATGGTTCCAAAACCATCCAATTCTATCTCATCCCGCTCCTTGATTGAAGCATTGATGTGCAAATTGTTTAAAGGTGATTTTGAATCCGTGATCATCGAAGGATACCAATTTAGATCCGGTCATCCCATTAGCAGTACATGGGGACGAGGCAGACAGCCACAGGCGGAGGACTTTCAGCATATTGACAGTTGGCTCATTGACAACTTCAGGAACTTTGTATGATGTCAAATTTTTGACATATTGCTTGGACAATAGCGTTGCTGCAACGGATACTGCATCGACGCTTGAACGTTGGGTCGCGCATTCTTTGTCAGAGCTGCAGCAGGGTGTCTTCAGTGAGGTGGACCCATGGAATAATCCGTTTCCCTCAAAGGGCCACAAACGTCGCGGACAGATCTGTGGCGGCTGGCTTTGCGTTTTGGCATTGGTGAAAGGCGATGAGAAATGGCATCAAAGAACCTTTAAGCCCACGACTTCATGGGTGAGTTCAAATCCGTGTTTGCATTGCAGTGCATCATCTTCTTCCAGCAGCGGAAATCTATTGTACACAAATTTTGGTGCCCGTGCAGATCACCGGAAGACCTTGAGAACCACCACGGAGTTCATAGCACGCGTTGCCCAAATGCACACTTGGACATGTGTGCCAGGCTTTTCGATATCCATGGTGATATATGACTGGTTGCATGTGACAGATCTATGCATCATTCCTGAATGCTCCGCTAGCGCACTGAAACTTGTTGGAAACACATGTTCTCATGCATGGATAGCATGATTGTTTTTCATCAACGCTATAGATCTGAGGATTGAACTTTTGTCACATCGTGCACAAGTGTTTGGTGGTGGATCAGCGGACACCAAGCTCCTTTGTGCCTTCCGCATGTTCACCAAAGCCTGTCGTGAAGCTCGGATCCGTGCCCTGGCCTGATAAGATTGGCATTACATTTGCACCTCAGTTCATGTTGTGAGTTTATGTGAATCTACATCGGTGACGCTACCATATTCCTTTTTGCTGAGGAAACAGGGGACAGTTCTTTTCGGTGAAACTTAACTGCATTGATTCAGGTTGTGGTTGAATTCGGCATTGTTGAAATGTGTTATCACAGTTATCACATTGGATGTGAGGAAGAGCTTGTACCCAAATGGGGCAGGCACCTACCCCACCTTCGCTCAAAAGAATATGAATGGTGCCGATCCTTGCCTTCAAACTGTGTGGTAGCTTCCGCCGCGCTTTCTTCTGAAGATCACGCCTTTTGTAACTTAAGGAATGCGTGGTGCTGGCTTGGTGGCTGCATCAAATCACCATGAAGCTCGCAGATGACTTTCCGGATGACGTTCATTGCCAGTGACTTGAAGCGATACTTTCTGTGCATTGTATAGTTTTCCGCTTTGACTCACCCCGCATAAGGTTGGTTGCAGCGGTATTTCTTAATTTGTGCCTGATGCGGAAGGCATTGAGCAAAGCACGGAATCCTGGGCTGCATACATCATTGACGGAAGAGAACATCCAGCTACTGCAAAAGAGTGCCTTCCTTTTCCGTGCTGCCCACAACAGCTACTTGGGATTCAGAGAGTGTTGACGCTGAATGTTGATTCGAAGCCATTCGATTGTGCACTGTCGTTGCACTCAGGCTTAGCCCTAGAGGCCATAGAAGCTGGGACATTGCTATGGAAACTACGCCCCAAATATCATAAGCTCTTTGGTTGAATATGGTGCAGTGTGTGTTTGTGGTTTGTATGCAAGTAACGTGGCCTCTGAAACCTTTCAGTGCTAAGAAGCTAAGGCTCGATCATTTGGTCCTCGACCAGTCACCCTTCCTTTCACCTCTCCATGCATCGTGCTACATGGACGAGGATGCAATGGGGCAAATAAAACGTTTGGCCCGGGAGTCAGGACCCAAATCCTTAGGATATGTGGTCCTTCAGCGCTACTGCGCCTATGTGTGCTGCAGATGGTTGCGCCAATTGGTGGATTGATAGTTCAAGTTATGTGAAAACCTCCCATTTTGGAAAACAATCGATCACGATCAACGATTGGTGCAACCATGCCGGATGTACCTCGACCTGCTTCGTGTCCAGCTCAAAGTGGTGGCAGGGCGGCGAGCGCGCGGATCGGTGGATGGGAGGATTGGGCCCCGGAAAGTATCATCACAACCCTGCCAGCACCTTTCCAAAGGGCGCCTTCTGGTTACCATGCTAAGAGGCTACTACCAGTAACCTCTTGGAAGTAGCTATTTTCAAAAACCAGAAGGCGCCCTTTGGAAGGTGCTGGTATACTTATATCATCTTATATCTAGATGTACATAGAACCTGAGTGCATCTCTATTTTGGAGCACCAACCAATCAAAATAGGGTCTTTTCCTATCAAAGCACGGGTCAAATGGGTTTTAAGTATGTATCTCACTCTCTCTCTCTCTATATATATACACACATGTACAACCTTAATACACTCCCTGATATACACCATGTATGGACTATGGATCCTTAGAACATTGACCCCTTCTCAAGCACCCTACCGCAGGTAAATAGGCCTTGCATGGATGGTCTGGGTATAGATCGCGATGTGTGTGAGACTTGTTTGTTGCTCCGCGGGAGGTATCCTGAGCGTCTTTGGCCAAAGACCGAACTTCTGACTTTCTTCTTAAGTGTGCCCTTTGGTCCCTTGGACAAGTTAGGTCGCTGTGTTCTTCTGCTGATTGAATTTAACTATATACTGTAGTTGCCGTTGCTGCCGACCACCCACTGCTCACAGCTGCTGCGACCTACTAAAGGCGACGGCTGGGCCACTGGTCGCTTCTCTGTTCTCGAGATGGCGCCTAGGTCAGCGTGGGCGCATGGAACTTCCAAAATTTTGCCAAGGCGGGGGTGCATTGGAACGCACAGAGACCACGAGTTCGCACACGACTGGTTCGATCTGCCGGTCTCTGCCGGTGTCGGACGTGGACCGACGGAAGGCGTTGGCCTTCCGACTGGTCCGGAATCGGAGGAGGCTCCGGTCCCCTGCGTTTCGACCAAATGACCCCTCCGTTTTGCTCCGTTTCGACGCATGGAGGTACTCCCAACCGCATTGTCATGCGCTTTGATCGGCTACATGGAATCAATTGCAGGGAACCCAGATCATCGGGCTTCATGACCGCAGATCGATGTGCTGGCTCGAATCCTCGCTACATACTTTCATCAAAGATGTTGGATCATTTTGGAAGTAAGTCCAAGAAGCACTTGGTCACGACCTTCGAGTTTTCCAAGGTCTTCCAACAAGGCCCAAGGCCCCGAAGGCTCTATCGGCTTTGATCCCTCGACCAAGTCGCCTCCGGTCCTCCCGCAGTGTTCGAGGCGATTGGGAAGAACCTGGCGGCCAAGCATGGCTACGAGTTGGACGCGGGTCAGGTGGCGCTCCTCTACCCCGCACCGGGCGGGCGGCACTTCTCTTGTGTGCGAAAAGCCGCACATGGAGGATCCATAGAGATCCTGAAAGTGCCATAGAGATCCATTTAGAGATCTCTATCCAACATGTCATAAAATGTCCATAGAGATCTTGAAAGTTGGGTCAGGGAGGGTACCAGGTACGTGTCATGGGAAGTGTCATGGGAGCGAGGAAAATCTCCCGCGAGCCCGGGACGTTCGATTAACCACCTCGCAAGCTGCGGTTGACGTGCCAGATTTCTGCTCCAGCAAGCCTCACGGGTGAAAAACCATTGGTACGTCCCTACTGGTACGACCGGATGGTCCATTTGTGAGAACCGCTGGTTTTCGTCCCTTTCTCGGAGAACTGGGCGATGTGCCCAGTTCTTCAGTCCTTTTTCTGGACTCCCCAAAGAGCCCGGGACGTCAAGGGGGACGTCCGACGGGACGACTGCACCGACGACGTCCGATCTGGGCGGCAAAAGCGTCACATCTGGAGAGGTCACCAACCCAACTGACTGGTGCGACCAAAGTAGGACGGTGAGGGTGGCTGGATCAGGATCCATTTCGGGGGGTCTCTAGTCTTCCCCGGCCCCACATGAGTCACTCGCACCAGGAACTCGAAGGCCGCGACTCCAGGAACTCTTCGCCTTGGGCCTTTCCAACTTGGTGGGATCCATGTGAGGGGCCCAGCGCGAGGTGCGATCGCCGTCTGTTCCGTGTTCATCAGCCCAAAAGATCGGTGGGCGCCACAATCCCGCGGACCGGAAGGAGATGCAGGCAAGTGAATATAGTGGGATTCCTCCTTCCTTGGAGTTCCTACATGTTCCACTCACTGTCTTTTTCCCAATTGTGCCAATCACTGGGGAGTTTTTCAGGTGTCTTGCTCGCCACTTCCGCCTGCCGGCCTGCCTCATGTCTTTCGAGCTCTTCCGCCCAGTGGCGAACCAGTGGCGATGATTTCTTGTAGAGTCTTAAGTATCGATCGAATCCTACAACTAGGGTGTCCCAGTAAACCAGTATAGATGGAACGATAGAAGAGAACATCACTCTTTTTGAGAAAGGCCAGGCTGCAACCTAACCATCATCATCCACTGGGGCCTGGTAATGGGAATATACTCAGCCTATAAATCACTGGAAAGTACACTCCCAAAAATCATCATGGCAGTGTACAATAATAGAACATAGGCCCCTGCAAAACCATTTGTTCGCTGCTAAACAGGTGGTTTCCACTTCACAAACTTTAGATCTCTGAATCGGTCCACGATGTAATTTTCGGTCGGAGCACTGCCGAACATCGCGAGGTTCTCCTGCTATCCTGTGACTGGCAGCTTCTCTCGATCGGCCTTAAAGCTCAGCTTCTCTCGTTGATTGGGCACAGAGACCGCTGGTTGAGTTGATGGTGTGCGGCGATGTGAACATGTGAAGGTCGGACAACATCTACTAGGTTGGAGGCCATGGCTACTAGGTTCCGTTGGCCATACTTACTACTGTAGTTACTAGGTTCCATAGTTTGGGTCGGCCCCTTTGTGGTTGCTTCCGAATGGAAAGAGGGCCAGAGATGCCAGGACGGGCACTGAAGGGAGGATGAAACCAAACGCTCTTAGCAGTGTCACGTCTTGTTTGCTCCCGTGAGGAGTCGGAGGAGTGTCACGTCGTAGCGATGTGCGGTCTATTCGCCGTGTTTTGAGCGTCCTTGGTCCCTACAGGACCTGCACGAGCTATGCCCCTGCCTTTGAGTTGGGTGGGGCATCGGACAAAGCTAGAGTTTGCTTTCATAGGTTTAAACTCTGGATAATATGTTACAATGTTGTGGGTTTCTCCCTTTTTTGAATTGAACTGAGCATGTGTTCTATAAGCGTGCGGATTGGTTGGTTAAAGCTCCACTGGTGCATCATTTGTTCAAGAAACAGCTTCTGTGGACCTGATTTAAGTCATTTTGATTCATGGAACGGCCCGTTCCAAATTTGGTCAAACCATGGGGCAATAAACATGTATTTCACCCGCCTGACTCTTTTGAGCGTCTTCTGGAAGGGTTCCGAGCTCCGCACTGCTCCGCCCTGCTCCGCACTGCTCCGCGCCCAGCTCTGCGAGGCCGTGAACAATGCCACTGGCGCGCAGACGCAGATGGCGGGGCTCGTTACTGCCCTGGTGATGCTGTGCCGGTCTTGGTCGGGACCGCGATCCGGCCGCTGGTTCGGACGGTGAAGCGGAATAAAGAGGTGAAGAATGAAAGAAGAATGGGTTGGAGGGGTGCCATCTCTACTCGGGAGGCCATCGCGGAGGCCATCGCTCTTATGGGAAGAATGAACAGATAGTTACATAGAGGAGACATTTAATTTTGAGTCGGCCTGGTGTGTAGCTCATTCTTTCCGCATAGCCAGCAACCATGAATTTGCTTGGGCCAGATGCAACCAGCTATGTTGGGACATCCGGTTGTCGTGATGTCAATATTCAGAGTCAGAGCCACAACCAGGAATGTAGATGAGACGCCTCCACCATTTAGAAGCAAAACGAAGCATTCAGCTTCGATCAACAATCACCCTCACATACACTCACCAGCTGTTTGCACCTGATTCAAAATTCCATGTTCTTCGATGTCCTTTTTTTTTGTATTCTGCACGACCTTCGCTCTTCACATGCGCACTATTTGAGATTCGCACGGTCGACCTGAGGGCCTCGGGCTCATCGGCTGCAGCCTATTTGGCTCCCAGAGGGGCACGCAGCATGAACAGAACATGCTGCGTGACGGACCCGGTCGACCGGGTGAGCCCGCGACCACGTCTGCGCCGCGCCCAGAGGATCTATTTGACGACAAGGTGGTGGTGGATGCACTTCAAGGCAAGTCGGAGCAGAACCGCAAGGAGCGCCAGCAGAGCGCAGAGCTTTCTGAGACGTAAAATCAATCTGCGATGTTCCCTCAGAGTCCAGTCATGACTCATTTTGGATGGATTGACTGGATGGATTGACCAGTCACGGGCACTTCGGATGGATTCATCTCGGATTCATTTCGGGTCACGAACCGGGTCGAACGAACGACCCGGGTCGAACGACCCGGTCCCTAGGAGTATGTCTTGAAGATCCAGGCCAAGGTGTCGGAAGCCCTGCAGGCGCGGTTCGTTTCGTCTTTCTCGTTGGGGCCATCAACACATGGTCAGCCAAGCATGTGAGGACATGGCGGGCAGCATGCAGAATCGGGCAGCATGCCTAAGGGAAGCAACACAAATAGGAATACTTCGGAAGACACCAATCCCGAAACTCTTCTTGTGCAGGGTGCGAATACCAAGCGAGATGTGATGCAACTCTTAGCCTGCTTAAAGACCTACTGCTTCCACTGCTCTGCCGGGGGCAACACCGCAGCCACAGCGCTGAAGAACGGCCTCACTGCTTTGGGGGCTGTGGCGATTGGTCTGGACAGCCACCCGGTCGCGAGCGCGCGACCGAGGCAAGGAACGCGTCGGCACTCGAGGCGCCGAGCTGTGTTCTTCTCGAAGGCGTAGCGAAGGGTTCTTGTTGATCTGGGGGTTTGGGGGTTGGACCTGTGTTCGCCGGAGGAGGGGTTTGGTGGCTGGAGTGTTGTCGTCGGCACGCCCAGAAGCAAACATTCCTGTCGCTGGGGGAAGCTTTTGGAAGAGTTCTTCGATGGATGGAAACGTGTCCGATTCGTGTGAAATCCCATGCGGCTGCAACAGCTCGGCTCTTGTAGGACACGCTTGTGGCACAGTCTTGTCGACGCTCTTGGGGCCCTCTTGTGGGAGACTCCTGTTGGAGGCGCAGTCTTGTACACTCTTGTGGGACACTCCTGTAGGACACTCTTGTGGACACACTTGCGGTGCAGCTTTGTGACACACTTTTGTGGGACACTCGTGTGGGGCAACTCTCCTTGGACACGTTCTGGGACACTCTTAGGGGGACGCTCTTGTGGGACAGTCTTGTAGGACACTTCTTTGGCCAGCGACTCATCAGCACCTCCTGCTCCCAAGAAGTCCAAGTATGACAAGTACCTGTCTGGTACGTTCCCTCAAGCAAACCGTGCGGATTCATTCAAAGCCCTGCGCACATCCATGCCTGTCAGAGAATGCAGCGTTTTGTTTTGCAGAACAAGAAGGAGCCCTTGGCTTTTGCTGAGAAGTTCTTCAAGGAGGATCTCAATCGGGCGTGTTGCCGGGCTATTTCCATTGGTTACTTTGCAGTGATCCGGAACGTGGCAGAGAAGGCTCTTGAAAACTGAGGCATACAAGTCTTTACAACGTTGCGCTGCAGCGAGCAGGGTGCGTTTCCACATTGGAATCATCTTCTTTTGTAAGCAGAGTCTTCGACGCAGCAGCCGTAGCAGGCAAACCATTTGACTCCTGGCGACACAGACTTTGTCAACAGGACGGCGGCACCTCACCGTCAAGTTCACTGCAGCCACCAAGGCCTTTTCCTCCAGAAACGTCCCCTATCACAGGCTCCCTGGATGCTCGCATGTAGTACTTCTTCTTGTCGGAACAAAGATTCCTGGCTTTGACACTTTTCTGTCATGAACATGCTTTTCGTCGGCCAACTTTTCTTGGTCATGCCGCGTGCCATGTAACACGTCTCTCGCAGCTGCTCGGTAGCATTCGATTGCACCACATGAGAGGTGAACCAATATCTTTTCTTCTAATGACCAGGATGAAACATATGGTGCATCGAAACAGTGCATGATGCCCTACGCGAACGCCTGAGTCCAACGGCCCCGCTCCCAGAGAGTGGGCGCACATCTAACAAGTCAATGAGCTTGGACACCCCAAACCCAGGGCAGCATTTGGCTTGGACACCCCAAAGCAAGTGTAGCGCTGACCAGTTAGGTTTGATGGTGCTGAAGCAGAGGGGTTCCTGCAAAAAGGTCCTGGACCACTTTGACATGGGGGCACCGGAGAAGTTCAGAATTTGACCCGGAGCACCTGGTGGCCACTAAAGTGCTCTACTATGACATTTTGCTTGTTAGTGTACCCTTTTCCTTGTTAATGTCCGTTCCCAAGTTGTTACTCGTGCATCGCTGGCAAAACTAGCCTTGTCACATCTTAGGCCATACGGGATGATGCAGATCTCAAAAAGCACGGGCTTCATTTTTGGGTTCCCTTTTGGTATGGCCAGGTGATTTTGAGTGTTGGTTGGATGGCAAGGAGCGGATGTCAGGGGCATGAAGGAGTTCACAGTTCACGGCTGACAACGTTGGTTGGTCTCAGAACAGGTCATACCCTGAAATGACCTGCGAACCTTCAGATACACATCTGATGATGAAGTGGCTAACTGACTTTCTTTCCACCATGCCTTTCGAGCGGACATGGGTCCTGGAAACTGCGCTAGCAGGGTTAGAAGGCATTGACGAGTTTTCTCGTTTGGCATACTCTCATGATGACCGCATCGTTTGGGATGAGCGGAAGCAGTGGCTTGGAAAGTGCTACTTGGGATGTTTCCTATGTGCCGTCGTTGTGGACCTTTCGGGGTACTGGCACCGAGCTGGGTGGAGTCTTTTCAAGCTTGTCCCAAAGTTGCACTTCACTGCACACTGGCATGAATACCTGGGCATTCAGCCCTGGGTGCTTCAGCGCACCCATCCTTGAGACAGCGTGGCAAGGACAACGGAAAAGGCGCCAATTGTTTCCCTGCTGATCGGAAATGTGGCATCTCCCATGCAGTCCGTGCTTGGAGCCCATTCCTTCTTCCATTGCTAGGTTTGATGGGGTCGATGCTCTGTGCACCTCAGGCTTTTGCGCTCCTGGTCGTCCTGCAGACTCCGTCATTCTCATCTTCTTGCGGCTGACTTCCTCAACCATGATCCGTTCCCCTTCATCATCTACCATGCTGTTTTCTGAAGGGTCCATCTTCGGTGTCACGTCCTTCTGTGCTTCTGCCACGTTCTGGTTCATCACGCGACGCCTTCGCCAAAAGCATTGGCGTTGCTGGGGCTGGAACTGCGACAACCTTCTCGGCTCTACCCTACTCTTCATCATACCCAGCACTGAGTTCCAAGGCGCTCCCCATTCTGGTACTGGCGACTTCGGCGGCAACCTCGTGACCGTTCTGTAAGTCTGGGCGCCGCCCGCCGTCGTGACAATGTGTTTGTCGGAATCCGCGTATACGATTCCTTTACCCACCGAGCTGCTGCCTTGCTCTTGACATGTGGAATTTCATCTTCACCAAGCGGGATGAGTTCCCCAACATAGTCATGTCCATCGATGACTCGGTGTGCTGATGCGACTCCGTGGGCTATATCTGGGTGACTTCCCCAACTCCATTGCTGAACCCCCTATGCTCTTGCACTCTGTCATCAAGCTTGTTTCCAAGGAACTTTTGCCACCGTACCATTGAGAGAGCTGCGTAGTTCCCTCCTCCAAAGAAAATGGCGATTGGCTGTCCTTGCAAATGGCCGTGAGAACTGTAATCAAGCCTTTCTGCGTCTTTCCTTCTTCAACATCTTCCACATTGCCATCCCTGCTGAAGAACATGTAGTCTGAATAGTAATAGACACGGTGTTCTCTTGTGTCTTCTTTGTGTCTTTCGCGGCCCTCTGCCCATGACACATTTTTGCGTGGTGCAACATGTGGTCGTCTCGCTGTTTGGGTTGTTGGTTGGGCTGGAACTGCTGCCTCTTTCGTCTCTTTTTGTTTCGCGCTCATCTTCTCCTGGAATTGACGGCTCATATTCCACATCATCCACCACTATGGCCTTTCCAGCAGCAATAATGTCTGTCATAGTTCGTTCCATGTCTGCAATGTCCTCGTTGTGTGCGTTGTCACGACTGGTGCTTGGCTCCTCACTTCTTCTCAGTCGAAACCAAGTCTCACCTACCTGCCCATTCAAGGCTAACATTCTTGTTTGCCAACCTCTCTAAAGTCCAAACATCTTCCTCGTCTGTCTGCGCACCTTCCTGGGCATGCCGGGTATCACCGGTGACAAAAGGCTCTGCTTTGAAGAGCTCAAGGAGCCGGATGTTTGGAGGACAGAGCCAAAGACGATGACGAGTATTTGATCAGACAGCGCAACGCAGCAAGGTTCCAGAAGTTTTCCCCCAACAAGGTTTGGAATTTGCCAGTTGAACTTGGGCCAGATATTTGCCAGTGATGTGACCCACACTGCTTGTCATCAAGGTGTCTGACCTTGAGGTACCATCTCTTCCCGTGAAGCTGTAAGGGACTTGTTATTGTCTCACCAAACCTTGTGACCAAGTAGTGTGAGTCCACCCGAAAATGCACTTCGTGCCCATGAGCCAAAAGACTTTGACTATGGGACGTGAAAGTAGCTAGAACGAAGGAGTTGCGCAAATTGACGTCCATGGCGCTTTCAAGCCCAGAGACAGAGGAGAGTTGCCCAAGCACATTTGGACACAAGTGGGTTGACAAAGTGAGTGAAGGCATTGCCAAAGCTAGGTTGTGCCAGGACTTCAAGAAGAGAGGAGCGCAAGCAGAGGACAAGAACAGTTCCCAGCAGTTTTTGCCCAACTCCACACACTCTTGGAAGTGTAGAGCATGAAGACAGGGTTTCCAAGGGTGAAGGCAGATTTGTTTTCAGCGTTCTTGCTCGCCAGGGATCAAGGAGACAACAGAAAGCAGCCAGTGATGTTGGTTCCAGGTGTGAATGGCTAGAGCAGTATGACGAATGGCTGGTTTCCCAACCGCGCGACGTCAGACAGGTGGAAAACGCACTGGCTTCGGAAATAGTTAGCAGGTTGGAAAACCTGTACGGTCGTCAATCAGCAGCGGCGCACTACAGAGAGAGACTTGAGAGATTCTCACTCATGAGTTGAAAGGAGACTATGAGTTCGTTCCGGGAAAGTTGGATGCTTGCATCTACCGCTGTCAAAAGACAGGAACAGCCTTGTTGCACCGGTAGATATTTGTGGCCGCTGCAAGTTCAAGTTGGGCGAGATGGAGTACCCAATCTTAGGCAACGGCGCCCAGAGCTCAGTTTTCGCCCCCGAAATTATCTGACGGTGGAAGTGCCAAGAGTCTGGCGCGATTCTTCCGCAGCGCTACACACGGCACGAAAGATATAGGTGTAGGCGGACAAGTCGCTGTTGCGTATTTTTTCAATATTTGTCAGGACAAAGCAAGTGATTGTGAACCAGGTGAAAGGAACCCGGAATCCATCTGACGTACTCACAGCATTCTTGGACACTGACGAAGCAGTAAGAAATGCCATCGACTTGATTGGCATGGTTGATCTAACGCAGCAAGGCCTCGACGGCCATGTCAGCAAGGCAAACATGAAAAGTGCTAGAAGTGTTTCAAGCAGCAACCAGAAGGTCTGTAGTGCTGGGTGGACAAAGGGGCTCACATGGAAACCAATGCAGAGCACAAAGCTCGCAATGAGTCAGTGCCTCAGCAGCGTAAGCTGCAAGCGGTCTGCAGGAGTGTTGCCTCACAACAGCATTCAGCTTGGCAATGCAGACGGGTATCACGGGAAGTGAACTATCACTCTTTGCCGAAATGCAGTCAGCCTGACACTCGTGTGGAGAGTGTATACCGAAAAGAGTAGCACTCTGCCAAAGTTGTGCAGAAGTGGGATATGTGTAAAGAAATACCAGAGCCCAATATGCATAAGGTACCCAAAGCATGTCTGAGCGCCAAACTTTAAGGAGGGGGCTGCTGGACATTTATGTAGAGATAGTGGGTAAAGTATGGCGCTAAGACTAAGACTGTGTACTGTGTACTGTAGCCCTTAACTCAAGAAGGAAAAGAGGTGAGATAGAGTTTTCGCAGTGTGTTCATGTGGGTGCGTGGGTCCTATCATTTTTTGCTTTTTGGATGAATGTTTACCAAAAAGAAAGGATTTGAACATTTTCTTGTTCTACAGAAACAGAGTTTTGGGGATGCAGCCAACCATTTTTGCCTCATTTTTGGGCCCCTTTAGTTTTTGCTTTTGAGGGGGCTAAAGGGTTTCCAACAGATTATTGTTCCAGCTGGTTTGATAGAAAGATGCCTTTTGCGTCCGGCTCCATTGGATGCACGCCGCATGATAGTGTGGGAACATTTTTTAAACAATCAGTCTTTGCTTTGTTTGCGCGACGTGAATCCAAACAAGCGTGGGCCCCGACCTGTTCTGTCACGTCGATAAGGGCCATAGCCATTGGACCGTTCACTTTCCACTTTAGGTGTGCGCGTTTTGTTTGTCTGTCATCTTGGGCCAAAAATTGGACATGTCCAGTGAGAGGCACACAAGGCTCTCTATGCACTGCAGTGGGTTCGGATCTAGATGATCATAGACTTGGCAGTTAAAAACATAATGTTGAAAATACAATCGAAACATGTCAAACACAGTGTCTTTCACACTCGGACGTGTGTTTTGTCCGATCTTTTGTTTGCCAGGCCAGGAACTGCTAGGGTTGTCCATGTCCAACAAAAACCATAGGCGTGTAACCCTTCGCAGTTTGCGCAGCTTCCCATCGGAACAAAATGATGCGTTAACTGTCAACAACTGTCAACCTGATGTCAACCGGCGTCCTGGCTCATCTGGGTTCTCCTGGCTCACTGATTGCGATGGGCGCTGTTTGCAACCACAATGGCCAGTGCGGCACTTGTTCACTTTCCTCATGGCACTGAGGCAATGTGAAAGACTATTTAGATGAGATGATGAGTTTGTTACTGGGAGACTCCAATGGCCCGGGCCCTTTCTTGGCCGAGCCCACCCAGTATGAGCCCACCAGCGATCATCGGGTCCGGTATTTGGCCTGCGAAGCGCTCTTTAACATTGCCAAAGTGGCCCATGAGGTGTGAAACGCCGGACATCAAAAACGACATGTTCGCGGGCTCTTGGGGATAGAAGAGGTTTTGAGGGATTCAGCTATGACCATTGATGACCCGTGCCGGTGCACGAAACGGGCACAGGATTGCACCTGCTTGTTAGCACAAACGACAGTCGGAAGACCAACATGTTTGTCGTGATCGTTTGGAACTGCGACCGTTTGCCGAGAGTGAGATCGATGTGGTCGGTCTCGTTTGGTGTGTGGATTCGACCTGAACACACCAAACGGTTGGTGGACAAGTAGATGGACTAGGAGATGCAGTACGTATTGCAATTGGAAAAGACTAGGGCGGCCGGGCATGGGTTGAAGTGGACACTGTAAAGCACCGTTGGACTCAGAATCACGATCCTTTTGGAATACTCCCAAGGATCTTCGATAGCTAAGTTCTTGGTGGCCTCACGTTGAGTCTATGAGTCCTGTGCCCATGAAGGATGAATGTCCGTCCAAGCATCAGGTCCAACAGGTACATGAAAGGAACCCGAAACCTCTTGCAGCAAGCTAGCACTTGGAAAGGGTATTGGCCCGTTTTGTGGCCCGTGTTTGGTTTGGGAGGGTATTTCTTTGGACGCCTCAAGACAGCGTCCGGAGCTGATTGGACAGGAGCTGATGCCTTACTTGGCCCGGATCTTCGATGGGCTTTCTCGCCTCGCAGGCGATGTGGTCCCAGATGTGCGCCACGCAGCACAGGTGCTGGACCGGCTGCTGATGCTTGGTGGGGAGAAGGGCAGCACCGGTGGCCTATCGCAAGCAGGTTGGGCACTAGGCGTCCGGTGGATGTGAGGGTGTGATGGGCTTGTGAATCTGAAAAGGTTTGGGGCAAGGCCCAAGGACCTGGGCCAGACAGTCTGGGACTTCTGAGCTGATGAAGGATTCTCCCCTTATTCATGCTGAAAAATCGTCCCGGATGTTGAGGAACATGGCAGATGCCATATGCCATATGTCAGAAGTTGGGTTTAAGATGGTTGAAGTTCAACAATAAAGCCTTGGTTTTCCCCAATGAAGAGACGAACACTATCAGCAATCAACAACTGGGGTATCGGCATGGGTCAAATCCTTCCAGATAGGATGCAAACAATACTCAAAGTCTGAGGGGCGTCTCCCCCCAAGCAGCACAGAGACACGGACCAATCGGATTTCACCTCAGGAAAGATATCACGTCCCAGCATCAAGATCGCCTGTGTGTGGCCACCTTCGTGGATGAATTGGCCAAGCGCTTGAAGTACAAAAACCCTATGATCCGGCAGCTCTGCTTGGGCTGGACCAGCTTAGTCTTGACCATGGAGAACGTAGACTTGGAGAGTTTTATCCCCCGATTTCTGGAAGGGATCTTCGAAGTGATGGAGACTCACGACCACAGCCGTGACAGCCGGCAAAATGCAGATCACTTGCTGGACAAGTGCTTAGAGAAGGTCAAACAGCTGAAGCCGCCAGAGAAATTGCGACGCGTCATCTTCCTCACGGCTCAGCAACTGGCTGGAAGCTGCAAGAATGGGGACAAGGTCGTGCGTGACTTTGCGACACTTAGCAACAGGCAACAACAGTGTGTTCTACAGCCTCGTGTGCCATCACACGAGGCTGATTGGAGACGTGGGATGTCCATTAGAAACTCATCATCCAATACTGTAGGCAGATTGCGGAGTAGGCAACACGGTAACACAAGTTCAACATGAATGCGATTCGGACCAAGACATGTTCTCTTGGCCGGGATCGGGTGCAACTCTTAGGGTACTGGGTGTACTGACATGTACTGACAGCAGCGACGTTCAGGACTTTGGAATGGACGATTTCTGGTCGGAACACCCAACTACTCTGAACCCCCCGAGACGAAACTGGAGGGTTTTCTTCGAGCGAAACTGCCACGCGGGGTCCAGTGGAACCACCCCATGTCCTCGGGTCATCCTCACCCCACCCGAGCTTCCGTGGAGTTCTCCGATCCGCACCTTTTCCTCCCTTTAGTTTGCGAAGCGAAGCCGCAAAGGGAAGTGCCAACGTTTTGGAACAACGACAGGGTGTTTGGACAGGCATCATGGTGGGAAGGATCGCCCTTAAGGTTGGATGCCATCGCTCTTAGGTCCATCCTTAAGGATCTCTATGAGTCGAAAGCCCGAAATGAGCGGTCCGTTTGGTGCCCGAGACTCGGCCCGAGACTCGGTCAGCCCAGTACGAAAGGCGTTTGCTCTTTATGCTGGCTCTACGAGTATCTCATCCTCACGCCCAACTGGAAGAAGAATAAGAGGGGTGAGATAGAGGCGGGCATCAGGCAGATGTGGGCGTGGGCCATCCCTGAAATACCTCCATGGTGACGTGGATGGTATGCCCCTGTGGACCTTGAAATCCGAATGCCAAGCAAGTGATTGCCATCCACTTTCGATGACTTCCACGTTGACTTGGAGAGTAGGGGATCAATTCAGTGTTGTTCGGGGAGACCGCGGCGATCGGCGACGGGCTCGGAGAACCAACGCCGCGCAGGTCGTGAAACTCCGAGCGCGGCGTCCGACAGGTGTTGTTTGCGTTGCTTTGATTTTTGGCGTCGGAGCTGCGTCGAATGCGATCCGACCAATCAGCAATGGAGAAAAGAACACAATACGTTTTCAGCGCGTGGAGATCTCTCAACCTTTTTAAGAAGTTTTCAGAGGTTCTTTCCGGCACATCATCTCTTTAAAGCCTGAAGCCTGGTCTCTTCTGGCTTTGTTTCGTCGAGGTCGAGGCCAATGAAGCGGAGGAGAAGGAGTGGCGCAACGGGTGGTCCAAAAACTTGCCCTTTGTCATCGAAGCTCGGGGAAAAGCACAGCAACTGGTCGACTTGACAGGGTCGACACTTTTTCACTGACAAGCATGTTGAAATCATGTCTCAAATAAGTCGAATCGAAGAAACATTGTCGTGCGTGTGCTGCATGAAACCAGCCATATTTTTCTGATGATGTCTCCATGTTTTTCCAACCTAGGATGGGGTCTATGAATGCCTCAAGGACACGGAGCATGAGGTCACTCAAATGGCAGTGGACCTCAACAATTGCCTTCTTGCGATGTCGGAAAAATTGGAGCCTCAACTACATGCAGGACATTATTGTTGCATATTTTTGCAGGGGGGGTATGAAACAGGGGTCGTCTAGGAAATATAACTTACAGCTTTTGGAGGCGAGGGGAGGGGGCAACGTTATTGTAACTTACATTTCTGGAGGTCCACCCTACGTAATCGCCTAGCTGTTCCTCCTAGTGTTCCCAGGAATATCCAGGAATCTCTTTGTCAGTTGATGATGGTTGATGCTTGTATTGTATTGTATTGTTGGCGTTTGCTGTGTCTTCTTGACCAGGAAAAGGAGGAGGAGGGGGGAATGTATTTTCCCCCCCTTGCATAGGAGAGGACCCAATCAACAGATTTTGCAGTTGCTCTGACATGTCAGAGTTGTTGATGTGTTGCGGGTCAGTGCCCTCAACATATATATGGCTCAGTCTTTGTGTCCCCCACGCATTCTCTGTCTGGGCCTGTCTGATCACTCAATGTGGGCCATGTTGTAGTTTATGTTCTTTGTCCTTACCTTTTTGCAGAATTGTACATTACATTTTTGTAGAAGCAGCAAGCTACTTTTTGGCTCTTTTGGGCTCTTTCAGTCAAATTGTCCTCAGACACACACAATGCTTTCGAACCTATCGTGCAACTCTAAGTTCACGACATACTAAAATGGTGGATGTATTCTATAAATAATTATAAAATCGCCAAGGAGTTTAAGATCACATCCAATTAACAGATCAGAGTTGCGACGCTTAACGTTCGAGGGCTGAACCAACTGACTAGGATAACCGGTACGAAATTCTACTTCTAACAGAAGCTAATACTAATATGAACCTGAATTCTATGAGTTACTGGGATGGTTATAGTTATAAGTTATACAGTCCTCTTTAGTACAAATTTAGACCAAAAAATGCGGGACCGGGCGCCAGTATAGCCAACAAAAGGCCCAACATGATGGAACTTGCCGCTGTTTTGAACATGCAGGAGTTGATATAGTGTTGATTTTTTCTAACTCATGAAAGGGTCTTAAGCAAATACACGGCCGAACTGCCGCAGTAATGTTTGCCTCACATGGGTGCGACCTGACATGTATTTGTGCCGCATTGCCACCGATGACAAGGACTATTTTTATGACAAGTTTTCGCAAGAAATGATGTAGAGGATATTTTTACATAGGAGGTGATTTCAATGCTAGAATCCACCACATTAGAGAAGGGGATGCTGATGTGTGTGGGCCATATATTATTGGGAGGGGCATGACATACTTAAGTAATCTTGAATCACATGGACAAAAAAACAAAAGAAAGCAGAGCGCTTTTCCTCGGGTGGTGCAGAATGCACTTCCTGACAATTTTAAAAAGTCAGTTCTCGAAACTACGGACAAATTAATCACCAACAGAGAAGACTAATGATACTGATTTTGGACTCCCGTTCACTGCTGAGAGATATGCCCAAATCGATTGCTGGCTGACTTGTAGCGACTGGAAATCTTGCACGAATGTCCAGAGCCGAAGGGACATTGCTTTTGATTCCGATCATGTACTACTAGAATCATATGTATATATGAAGCCACCACCACGGGGGCAGGAATCCAAAAACAGTCCAAAGTATCTCAAACCGACCCCCCGAACAATGGAGTCTCTATAATCAGCCTTGTTGTCAGGCCATTTCTGATCGTTTTTTGTGCACTTTTAGTTGAAGGAATTTCTGCGCTCAGCGGACAGCAGTTTGGAGAAGATGCCTAACAGAAAGAACCAACTATATATATATATTACTAGAAACACATGGAACATCATGGAACCAAATAGAAAAACATGGCGCAAGACACCAATGGCGCATCATCGCAAGAAGTGCGTAGACTCAATAAAGAGATTTCCAACCAAGCAAGCGCCCCAAGAACTGTTTGTCGCAAGAGTAGTGCCAAGTTTCAATAAAGGTGAATCAGACGATTCTGCAAACTACCGCCCAAATTCTGTACTGAGGAGCGCGTACAACATATATATGATGATCCGATGATCCGATATATAAAGATAAGCTTAACAAAAAATTAATATGATTTTCGGCCTGGCAAAACAGCCTCGCACACGATGTGATCCGCAGAATCCAAGATGACGCTGAATCGGACGCGGCTGGAAGAAGACAGGGATGCCCATTATCCCCGTATCTTTTTGTTATTGTTATGTCGTGTATTAGTTTTGATATAGGAGCTAAGTGCGGTCGATGGGTGTTAAATGGACGAATTCCGGGGCTTGAGTTTGACATGTCTATTATGCCGATGATATCATTTTGTTTTCCACTGAATTATTACACCTGACGGAAGTGATTTCCAGTAGAAGTGGTTCAGGTTTAAATAAGGGCAAGTGTGTCACAATCCAAATGAATAATGATGGCTCGGTCCATTTCGCCAATCAAGAATCGCTCCCAAAAATAATTTGAGACCACTTCCCTAGGAAATCAAATCAGTAGGGAAGCCAACATCTAGCACGAAATTCTGAACCAAATGCAAGAAGTAAGAAAGACCTGGTTCAGATTTCTACCTTATTGGAAGGCGACGCATGCAAATTTGAAATGTCAACTACTGATCTTTGATCCTGCTATCAAATCTAAAATTATTATGGATTGTGAGACTGTTCATCTCACACAGGCCATTATGAAAAATATCGACGCCTTCTAGTTGCGTTGCCTGAGAAAACATCTTGGGATAGAACCGACGTTAATAGGTAGACGAAATACAAACCAGGCAGCACTCCAGAAATGTACAGAAATTGTTTTCAAGGGGAAGACCACAAAAGATCCTTCTTTTCAGCGAATGTTATCTTCACCGTAAGACAAAACTACTTGGGCATGTGCTTAAAGCCCCTGAGGATGACCCTTTAAGACAAGTATCTTTTGATCCAATTACGCAAACAGGGTGGACTATGGCAATGGTAAACGGCGCTGTGGTCGTCCCCAGCAAAACTGGCTGCGTAAAACCGCTTATGACTTATGACTTATGACTTGAATAATATGCATGGAAGTGGCTACACCGAATCTGTAAAACATGATAATGATTTCTAAATTTATAATGCAGCCTTATGCCGAGTTTTTTGGTGTGGTTCCTTGGCTATGTCAATGCCTTGCTTCTTTTGACGATGCTTCATTGCAAGGTAAGGCTGGACAAATAGATGTAAGTTGTAGCATGCATATATTGTTCCATCGCAACTTCACCGACTTACAACACGAGATATTACATGTTTGAGGTGTTTTCAATGGAACAGTGAAGCTTACATCTCCTGGAGGGCCCCGAACAACACGGTAGGGATGCTTTGCCTTCAAAGAGCAATTTTCCCTCACGGAAGAGGACCTTCTGTGGACTTCTGTGGTTTTTGTGCTCAAATAGTCATGTAGACTCTTGATTAATAGGTTTCCCCTGCATCGGAAGAGGATTTTCAAACCAATGGGGGTGGGTGAAGTATAACAAGAGTCTACAGTCTACATGATTCATTTGTCTCAACTGGACTATCAACTGTACGGGGTTGGATTTTTTCTCCATGAGTTCGACAGACCTGAGTCCTGAGGACTGCCTTGAGTCCTGGGGACTGCCAAAAGCGGCTGTTTACCTGTATGCCAAGCATATTCTCATGTATTCTCAGCTTTAGCCAGTTGGATGATAGGATTAGTTTGATTTGTTGGATCCGAACCATATTATACTCAACCAGTCAATGATTGTACCAAGGAGGTAGCTGCTGTACTCGTGTCTCCAGGTCGAAGGACTAATGCTTGGTTTGCTCCAATATTGGCCTAACTCAATCCAACTTCTCCAAACCTTTCTGGCCCAACTTCACCAGCGCCTTCTTCACACGCTGATGGATGTGAAGTCAGCATAGATCATTGCGACCAAACAGACGTGCTGAGAAGAACTGAGCACTGAGGACTGCTTGCCAGTGGATGAGCTCGTGTCAACGGTGTGTGCTCAGCTCACGCCGCCGATCGCCCCGGATGGAAGACCGAAGCGGGAGCAGGAGCAAAGAAATGTGACGATACAGCTCCATGGCGCAGCTGGGGATAGAAAGATAGAAACCGTATAATCATCAATCATCATAAATCATTTTTTGTGTATGTTTGTTCATTAAACGTTTTTTTTTTTGTGGGAGATGTCATGCCTTCAAGGGATTGATGGGGTTCATGCCAATTGACAGCCTCCCAGTGATGCCATATGTGCAGGATGTCATATTTTGCAATACGTGTGAAGATGACCCCAGCTACGTTGGCCTCTCTTAAAATCGAGGACAGTAAGTAAGGATCTGAAATACTTCACTTCGGACTATGAACCCGCACAACACAATACATCTTATGGGACTTGTTCAGCGAATCGGATCCACAACTGGCCAGCCAGCTTTGGGGGCAGAACATGTGTTGAAAGAACTTCTGTACCAATTCTCGCTTTGCACCAAAGAATAAGACAGGGAGCAGTGCCGTCGGACCGAGGCGGACCCATTTTTTACACAGACTAGGGGGTCTGGGAGATGAAGAGAACATGTCTCACAAGACTTGAACAATGTGGCTTTTGTGGTTTTAGGAGTTTTTTAAGTCTGCCTTGAAGACTACGAGGTAGTGCTGTAGTTTGAGACGCAGATCCAAGAGCACAGTGATTCCGTTGCTTCCATTCGCTCCATCCAAGGACAATCGCATGCTTTCAGTGGATTTGTTTGTTATTGACGAATTCGCCACAGAAGATGTTGGAGAAGAAGACCATGAAGGAGCTCTTCACACCTGTCTTCAATTCGCTGACGAGTACAGATGACGAGGCAGACGTGTTTCTCAACGCCATTCACACTTGACATCAAGCTTGTGTGTGGCGACATAGCATCGTGGGATGGTGGGGCTGATCGGATTTTGTTGAATGAAAGGCAACGAGACAAAGTGGATATCTTGTTAATTGGGTTGTCTCAAAATGAAGCTGGGCCAGACCAATTGCCTTGGGTGATCCCTTGAGACATGGATCCTTGGAGATCTCCCAAGCGTGGACTGGCAAAAGATCTAAACGACAAAGAAACACTGTAGATGATCATGCTGAACCGGAACTTCGAAAAAGTATGTATTTATAATTAATATATATATATATGTATGTATATCAGGTGTCCTCCTGGTTTGCATGCATGCTTGCATCTATCCATGCATCCATACCATACCATACCATAAGACCACAATACCATAATACCTACATACATGCATGCACATTTACTTTCCTACTTACTTACATACAGACAAACGGACATGCATGCAGCCATGTGTTGAAACGCCCGGCATGCGCCACCATTTGGCTTGCATTGGTTCGACCAGCAGGGACCTGCATTCGCCTCAGGAAAAGGCTATCCGCGTGCCCGTGTGTGTTGGTAGGAACCAACGTTTCCGGTTTTGACATTGGTACTTTACTTATTTTACTTATATACTGTACTTGTCTTTTCTTACTTTACTTACTGCACTTACTTTACTTGTATACGTTATTTTAATTTTGCTTACTGTACTTAATTTGTTTACTTTTCTTACTTCACTTTACTCTACTTACTTACTTGCCTATTCACTTGTTTGCTTTGGTTTCTTTACCTTTACTTACTTGCTATACTTACTTTTCTTACTTTACTATACTTTACTACTTACTTTGCTTACATTGTTTGCAGTCTTACTTGCTTACAGACAGACAGACGGACGGACAGACAGCCAGCCAGCCAGCCAGGCAGGTAGACAGACAGACAGACAGACAGACAGACAGAGAGAGAGAGAGAGAGAGAGAGAAAGACACACACTCTTGAGATGAGTGCTCCGCCGGGCGTGGCTTCAGAGCTTCGCGGTGAACGTTTGCACTTTATGTTACTGCAGCAGCCAGTGAATACTTAGCACTTGACCCGATGCAACGGTAAGAGTGCTAGGTCAGTTCAACAGAATGTTTCAACACAGGTGAGACATGAATAGTCGACCAAAGAATTTGGCAGGTACGTGACTTTGGCGTCCCAAAGTCATATCACAACACAATGGAAAGGTCTTCGTTGGGCAATGCTTTCCAAAGTGTTCATTGCCCCCCTGCAGCTGTACAGGTTAGCAAAAACAAGGGGAATAGGTTAGTGCCCCTTGGAACGGGGTTGGACACACGCAAAAAGCCGAAACGGCGCAGCTAGTTAAGGGAGAAGAAGTCAACTCATGGTCACGCATGCTTGTACTCACTCCGCATTCGTTTCTTCGATGTGACTGCAGCATTGCAGCGCAATGTGTGCTGTTTTCTGTTTCTTTTTTCTTTTTCTTTTTCTTTTGGCCAGGGGTGTGGAGGGGTGTTCGGGCGTGCATTCACTAAACGAGCCTGGATGTCACCCAACAAGGCTGAAGAAAAGAACAAGAAAAGCGAAAAAGCAAGGAAAGAAGAGAAAGGTGCAGGGGGTGCGGGGGGGGCAGGGCGTGCGTTGATTAAACGAGCCTGGAGGTCACCTAACAAGCCTGAAGGAAGGAACAAGACGAACGAAAAGGCAAGGAAAGAAAAGAACAGGTGCAGGGGGTGTGGGGTGGGGTGGATGCTCTTGCGAGGAATCGGCACGGGCCCGTAGGCACTGGCCGACAAGCCGAAATCGGCGCATAAAAAATGAATACTTAGCAGAACCTAAGGGTACTTAGCAGGTTACTTAAAATTTGGAAAGTTTCCGTGGTGAAGCAAATTCAGTGAGCTCTGCAGCTTAGTTCAGAGTGGTCTTCAGTAGGCTCTGCAGCGATCTTTCACGAGCACCCTGTGAAACATTTCCGTCAATCGTACTTCGAGCATCAAAATTCAGAAGGGAAGTTCAGTCAGAGGTCCAGTATAAGGACTATACATCAGTTCTTCTTTAAAGGGAGGGAAAGAAATCTCGGTAACGGCGCCCCGCAGGGATCACACAGCTTACCACAGTGGGAAGAAGCTGCGAATCACACTTGAGATGAGTGCTCCGCCGAGCGTGGCTTCAGAGATTCGCGGTGAACGTTAGCCCTTATGTTACTGCAGTAGCCAGTGAAAACTTAGCACTTGACTCGATGCAACGGTAAGAATGCTGGGTCAGTTCAACAGAATGTTTCAACACAGGTGAGACGTGAAGAGTCACTCAGAATTCAGAGATTCGCGGTGAACGTTAGCCCTTTATGTTACTGCAGTAGTCAGTGAATACTTAGCACTTGACTCGATGCAACGGTAAGAATGCTAGGTCAGTTCAACAGAATGTTTCAACGCAGGTGAGACATGAATCAGTCAATAAAACAATTTGGCAGGTACGTGACTTTGGCGTCCCAAAGTCATACCGCAACACAATGGAAAGGTCTTCGTTGGGCAATGCTTTCCAAAGTGTTCATTGCCCCCCTGCAGCTGTACAGGTTAGTTAAAAACAAGCGGAATAGCTTAGTGCCCCTTGGAACGGGGTTGGACACACTTAGACAATGGGTTTTCTGTTAACTCAGTTCCACGAGGAAAGGAATGGCTCAACGGCAAGGTGAAGCGTCCGATCACTTGAAGGCGATTGAAAAAAGTGTTTCTCGTGATGCATGACTGCAGAAAATTAGTTACTGATTACTTAGCAGACCGAATTAACGCCGTGCATGGAAACCTGGTTTGTGGGACGTATCATGAAAATCACCATGAAAGCAAAACAGAGAGAGTAGAACAGCTTGGACAACAGTTGATCGCAGGTACGTTTGCGCCCAGGTGGGGGGTGTCTTCGTTGGCCGGAGACCCGCCCCTGGCTCCGGCCCCGTGCATCAAACAAAAGAACTCCTCGGGACGGAGTGTGACACACACACACGCACAAAGACGTATGTACGTTGTGACGTATGTACATACGCTACACACAGAGTGACCACTATCCAACTCAGATCAACCAACATGACACAGCCAATCAACTGCAAGCTTTCAGGAAACCTTTTGCTAACAAAGAGTTCAAAGATCCCAGCAATGTCCTCGATGGAGCTAGAGCCCCTTCGACAGTCCTTTCCATCCAAGCCATTGCCGCAACAGAACATGGGTAGGACGAGAACAAGAGCAACCACCACTAGCGCGATAACAACGAAACTGGCACACCCTGCGAGCACCCATGGGTGCTATCCGTCCCGAATAGCTGCCTTGGTGACCCGCTGGAATGCCAGGTGGTGATCGCTGCCCTACGTATCTTGGCCAAGATCATGGAAGCTCATCCTCCGGAAGCTTTGAGCATCGCGGATTTGGCGCCGGAGCCAGAGCTTGACAGCGGCTTGTCGCCCAAAGAGACGCTTGGAGAGGTGAGGGAGAAGGGCGGGTGAAGGCGACGGCCAGAGAGGCTGATAGACGGGGGTCTCCTTGTTGAATGTTGTGAATCTGGCTACATCCCTTAAGAAACCTGTAGATCTTGCGCCTAGTGACATTGAGAGAGTCTCGATTGCGGGAAAGGTTTTCGGTTTTCTCATCCCATCCCCAGGCCTGAAACCTACATGACTTTAGGGCTTGGAGCCGCGTCTGCAAGGGTTTATTGAGCCACCTCCGCAGGTGCTTTTGTACTGAGAAGATCTGAAAAGTCTACAGAACGAGTAATTACGGGCTCAATTGCATGCATAGAGGTATTCCTTGCAGCCTGCGGCTTGAACCCCATGTTCAGAAGAGCTTGGTTTGCAACTCGTGGCCAAGAAACGAGGCACGTCTTAAGGTATGTTAGCTAGCAGGGTATCTCATCCTACGCGCCATACGTGTCTGTGTAGGAAACATCCTTATCAGAACTCCCTTTCTTGGCTGGACTCAACTGATGTAAACAGGTTCATTAATAAACCCATGGACTGTGGAGCCGCCGTGTTTTGTCCTGTGTGCAGTTTGTGTCACTGTGCGAACTTTGGGAAACCCAAGGGCCTCGGGTGCGGCGGAACTAAGGTGTTTTTCAGGTCGCCGAGCGTGGAGCGTATGTTTGACCAGTCTTCAGGAACACGTCAACTTTGGAAAGTATCAAACACAGACACCAAACTTGTAATGCAATGTGTGTGTATGTTCATTTTTGAAAGGTGTTTGTGGTCTAGCGCAAAGAAGGTGTTGACCGACGTGCTACTTTTTGATACTTTTCGTAGGAATAAGACGGAACATGCAGGTATATACATACATACATATATAATGTATATATACCTGGAGCCTGAGCTCGACCTCTATTTTGGGACCACCCACCCAAAACATGGTCAAACTTCGTATCAAAACAGAGGTCATGTTTGGGTTCCAGGTATATACATCACGTGCAGGTGCGCGAACAGGTCGAAGGGCCGAGGCGTTCACGCCCAGGATCGTCAGTGGTCGTAGTCTATGGAATCTCCTGTTTGCGAAGGTTGCGAAGGAAGGGGGCACCATAGCAGGCTGCAAACTCACCAAATCACTCATAACGTGATATGGGCGACCTTCACCAGATCTTGATGACCTGCAGCCACACAGTAAGTTTCGAGCAGCGTTCTGATATGTATCAGGCAAGCCTAGCCGACACCTCCACGTTCAAGTCAATGGCAGCTCAATTTTGCCAAAGATCCATTGATTCAGAGTTCACATCTCTAAATGGTCCGGCTCCTTCAAGACACCGAAGACACCGTACCCATGTTTGCAAACAACCATCTACAACCCCTTGCTCTTCTATCAAGGCTGAAAGTTGCTTTTTCATGGGAATGGTCCCGCTTCACCTAGGTGAGTCAAAAGCAGGGAAATAGTAATTAGGAACATCGGAACACCGTTTTTACGAAACATGCTCCTACAACCTGGATATCGATCGCCTGAAGCTTCTAGAGGTCATGCTGCTATATGTACTTGTTGCAACGACTACACCAATAGTTGCACTCTCCTTGAGTGTCGCACTACTGTCATTTACAGGAGTGTCCCATGTTTCCATGGCTGTAGGCTGGCTGGCGACTCTCATCACAACTAGCGCAAAGTGGCACACTATAGATGGACCCCTACACGTCAACGCTCCCAGAAGCCGCTATGGTGATTTCCCGCCCGAAGCAACTCCGAGGGCTGCTGCTGGGGACCTCTTCACCGACATGGTCCAGAGGCCGGCCGCCTCTGTCAGTGCAGCTGCTGCGACACAGTGGCGCGTTTGGGAGACCCTGGCCCTGTTTGGTTTGGTGAACGGTCTCCGGTTTTGGGTGTCGATGTCGCTGCGGTGATTTTTATTGTTCAGGCTTGTTGGGTCCGACATGTTCTAAGCCATCAGCCCGGCCGATGGCTTCGTTCACATGTGCTCACATCGTTCACCGTGATGGCTGAAATGCAGTTGGGGGTTCCAAGAGTTGGGTGTTCCAACTGATCTGATCGGCGTCAACAAAATGCAGAGCCTCAACAATGCCTGGATCGAACGGCGTTGAACAGAGTGCTAGCGGAAGGGTCGGCCACCGCAGCGGAGGGTTGGAGAGGGGTTGGATGGGGCCGGCGAAATGTGCAGTTTTGAAGTTGGAAGCACCGCTGTAAAAAGGGCAGGTCAAGCGATGCATTGCCTGGAAGGTACCATTAAAGGTCATAATTATGTAAGTAGATGGTAGATGTGGATGGTGTATGTGTACCTCTATAGCTCTGATATGCTCTGATCATCTTTGATCCCTCTCACTCAGCAAGCAACATTCTCACCCTAGAATCCGTGCGACCTGGTAACCACCGACCGAAACGCGGAAACGGGGTCAAAGGGCTCGAAAGCAGGGCCTATGTGTTAGGGTAACATTCCACACTCCGTGTATGACAGATATGCATTGGGGTGTTTTCAGGGGTCAATGTATGTAAATATTCCAAAATTAAATGGATCGGTTGGGAATGTTTGTTTCCCTTCTTTATCCCTCGGCACAGATTGTGCCTTGGCTTTCGCACGTACCGCGGATTCACACGTGTGCGGGAGGTCTGGCACCTGACCCTATACCCTCAAGAATCGTTGTGCCCCCGAAATGGTGCCATTTACTCCCCTCCCCGTTCTTTAAACAATTGTGCCTGCTACTCTCACCCCGGTGTAATTATATATATGGGTGCTCGCTCGCTGAATAGGGACCCCCTGGGGATACCATTAACACAAAAAAAGAACAATGATCTGGAAACCATGCTCAATTCCACATCATTTCTTGTTCTTTTGGTTTTCTGCCTTCAGGATTGAGCATAGTTTCCAAATCATTGTTCTTTTTCTTTTGGGGGGTTTGAGCCTCACATATGTTTGGACTAGTTTGGAAAACATTGTTTATACACCCCACAAATGTTTATAAACAGTGTCTTCTGATGCAGTTGCACCAATGTGATCTGCCTACCTGTTGCAGCATTCCAATTTCAAATCCGCAGCGCGTCATCTCATCCTTGCACCAATGTCGTTTGCATTCGAAGCCCTGTGTAAAGAAGCTGGGTCCATGCAGTTGACAAAGCTGGACTAAATCTGTGCACAGAATTGTTGAACATCTACAATCAACTACATCTACAACAATAAGGCACCATATTATCCAGTAAGCGAGGCTCAACGTTAGAAACTCTTTGGCGAGTTGAATTATTCATAACATTGCAACCTTTCATATCAATATGCAATCCACACCCACAATAATTACAATAATTTGAGTCTTGATATTGCCCCAGAACCGCTGAACACTTGCATATGTTTCTTTTGATACTTTTCTTTTCGCTGTTGACTACGTGCAGCACCACAAAGGAGGACGACACCGGTTGATCATCACCAACTACATCAGCAAAACCGATCTCACTCTCAACCTCACGCTGACCACAGTATTGCACATCCTTACAACCCATGACGCTTCACCATACAAAGGCCAAGACACACTGTCACATCGACCAACAGACAAGCAAGTTTACAACTTCAGAGCAAAGCAAGTGGTGGCAAAGACAACCTATGACAGAGATCAAGGGATCGCAGCTATTGTGCTGGAAAAAGGGCTCATGGACATCGTGAAGGAGAAGTGGCATGAAGGATGGAAGGAAGCTCACAAAGACCACCCTCGTTTTTCCAACTACATTCGATATCCATATGCCATTTCATTCGCAGAAGCACGTCTGGAAGACGAACAGCAGGAGATACGAAGCTCAGAGTGACAAAGACAGAGACATCAACAGAGGCAACAGACGAGACATCAGCAGAGGCAACAACTTTGGCAACAACATTGGCGGAAAAAACGTTGGCAACAATCCTTCCAACAGGAAGCAAATCATGGCAAAAAACAGGGACAAACCGAGCAAACATGGAACACCACAACATACCACACCAAGCCTTCCAGATGGCACCCCGGGACACCGCCCATTTATGGGCTGACTGAACGACCCCACAGACATCCACATCAAGACTCTCCAGCAACTTTTTTCTATTACCGACGGGCTAAAGTTAGGATTAACCAGAAAAGACGGGAACGCAGAAGACAGTGGAGATTCTTCAAACGCACATGTCTGTGGGCGAGAGCCACTAAGACAGCCAAGGAACGGTTACAGAAAAGTAGTCTTGCTAAGAGGAAATGTTTGAAACAACACAGCTTCAAACAATCATTAAACCATGCAAGACATTGGTTCAAATCCACGATCAAGAAAAGGAAACAAGAATTTCGATATAAATGCGCCGCTATCAAGTTCCAAGAAACCAGTTTTAATCAGAGCAACAAACTACAAAAAATGAGGCGAAACAATGGAAGCTAAAACACGGAAGTCGCTTGAAAGTTGCCACTTTGAATGTAAGAGGATGCAATCACCTTACCAAACGGGAAGTAATTGATGATATTATGAAGAAGCACTCATACGATATACTACTTCTAACAGAGACCAACGTTAATACCTCCAGCTGGGAAAAATGGGACAGCTCAACTTGTTTCTTTAGTAGTAATATTGACCCCAAAATAAGAGAACGAGAAATGAAAAAAAGGGACGAAAACATAAACCCTGGAAGGGCGAGAGCAAACTACAGAACGTCGGAGGACTTTGAAAATGCCGGAGTAGGAATAGTGATTAATTCATCACTCCTTCCAAGTCTGCGAGATATTAGACAAATTAACGGCCGGATAATAACAGCCACGTTTGAAGCACAGGGCTCACCTCTTTCCTTTATTTGTGCATATGCACCTCACAGCGGACACACTATTGAACAGAAAGAGGAATTCTACGACCAACTATCCACAGAAGTGTCGCGAATAAAAGGGCGCTTCTTGATTGGAGGAGACTTCAACGCCCGTATTCATTACGTTAGAGACAACGATATCGATGTATGTGGACCACATATCATAGGCAGAGGAATGGAATATCTAGATAACATGAATGAACATACAAAAGAAAATAGGGCACTTTTCCTTGGGTTTTGCAAATCACACCGCCTTCAAGTTGCAAACAGCTTGTTTTCGAAACCGCCTGAAAAGTTCGTCACTTACAAGGAAAAAGTCCATATGGATGAAAACGAAGAATACAATGGCCCCCCATATGACGCAATAAAATATGCACAGATCGATTACTGGCTCTGTGGGCAGATCGAGCAAAGAGCAATATCAGACATCCAAAGTAGATTAGATGTTCCTTTTGATTCAGACCATTTTGTGTTGGAATGCAAGCTCAATATTTCTTTCCCTACATTTAAAAAGGATAATGCGCCACGTACGTCGCGATATGCGAAACCTGACTCAGACAGATGGATTTTCTACAATAATAACATTCGGTCTTTGCTAGAGGGGAAAAGATGCGACTTGGATTCACTCACAGAGGCCATGAAAAACGCGGCCGCAAGCTCACTAAGGATAGAACCTCCGAATAAAACGAAAAAATTTATCCGTCAAAGTACTTGGGCAAAAATTGAAGAGAGAAACGAAAAGGCCCGAAACGGAACCACAGCAAAGGAAATAACGAACCTCAACAGGGAAATTGCCCGAATGGCCCGGAGGGACAGGCAAGACCATTTGATAGAACAATTCAATGAGAACCCCCAAGATCCCAATAAGAAAGGTTTATGGAGAGCGGTTAAGGGATTAAAAAAGAAATTCATACCCAATTATGTGAAAATGAAGAACATGGATGGTCAGCATGTCCCTTTGGCCCAACGCGCTGAGACTATAGCGAACTATCTAGAACAAAAACACTGGAGCAACCAAGCTGAAAACGAAATCAACCACAGCAAACTTGTAGATAGCAACGATGCAGGAGTAGAGAGTTTCACAATACAAGAGCTCTGTGCAGCCATCAAGGCGGCAAAGCCCAATAAACAACCTGGCCCTGATGGTCTAACTATGGAACTGATCAAGTGGCTGGACAATGCCAACCGGCGGGTTCTTTTGTCTGTTATCAACAGCTGGTGGAATACAAAAACTGCGCCGTCGGCATTGTTCATGGCCCGTGTTGTCCCTATCTTCAAGAAAGGGGATACAGATATTGCTTCCAATTACAGACCAATCTCCTTACTCAACAGTTTCTATAAAATATACATGGTGATGATCAGGACCAGAATGCAGGCAGCCACAGAGCATCTACTGTCTAAAACCCAGTACGGCTTCAGGCCCAGCAAGTCTACTTCACATGCCATCTATATTCTCAGACGAATTCAAGATTATTCCGAAATTAAGGGGGCGAAGCTGAGCATTGCCTTCCTAGATTGGGAAAAAGCCTTCGATAAAATTCAACATGACAAGCTTCTTGTTGCCCTTGGCCGACTGGGTTTCAATTCGCAGTATACAGAAGTCATCGCAGACTGTTATGCAAAGCCTCAGTTTTATGTCAAGGACGAATTCGGTTGTTCCGATTTTAAAGTTCAATCCTCTGGGATCCGACAAGGTTGCCCACTGTCACCTTTCCTATTTGTATTAGTCATGACCTGCATCGACATTGACATTCAACAAAGTATTTCCGCTTATGTGACAAATAATCGAACCCCAGGGGTTAATTTTGACATGATCTATTATGCAGATGACACTGTACTTTTCTCACGGAACAACCGAGCATTAAACGAATTGCTGAAATTGACAGAGAAAATCTCCAGTGGATACGGACTTGGTCTCAATAAAAACAAATGTGTTGCTATCACTATGAACAACGACGGTTGTATTCATTTTCATGACGGGACCCCTTTGAACAAAGAATTTGAGGCCATGTATCTTGGAAATGAGATAAACAGGACAGTAAATATAAAACATGAAATCCTCAATAAAATGTCAGAGGTCAGAAGGACCTGGTTCAAGCTCAGCGCCTATTGGAAAGCTTCTGGAGCCAGCAAAAAGTGGAAGCTAATCATTTTTGATGCCATAATCCGGAGTAAGCTTTTATATGGGTTGGAAACTATACATTTAACCCAGGCGCTAAGCAAATCACTAGATGCTTTCCAATTAAGAAGCTTGAGAAAGATTCTCAAAAGACCGCCTACTTTCATAGATCGGTCATGTACGAATCAAAAGATTCTTGAGGAAGCAACTGCCATTGCCTTCCCAACTCGGGGCGATAACAGACAAATTATACGTTTCAGTGATTACCATATGAACAGAAGATGTAAATTACTTGGGCATATAATTAGAAGCAGTAATGATGACCCCATGAGACAAGTATCATTCGTTGATAGCACTGCATCCAGAGTTGATTACGGCACCAAACGAGTTGGGAAACCGAGGCAAAACTGGCTGCATATCACAAAGAAATTTGCATACGAAAACGTTTTGAGACATCATAATTTCGATGAAAACACCGATGATGCAAGAATATATGCAGCCGCATTGAACAGAGATTTTTAATTACCGTTCTTTGGCTGTGCCAACGCCTTGCAATAAGCCCGTCCGGACCAGGTCGGCGCGAGGTATGGCTGGAAAAAAAAATCATACATTTTGTAGTCTTTTCCACCAAAGTAGCTTGTAATGCATGTTGTATTAAACTCATCATTGGTACCATTATTGTACCTATAGAACCGTATTGTATACAAAAAGGCTGTCCAACTCAATTCAGGACAATGTTTTACAAGAAAACTGCTAGACTGCTAGAATCAAGTATTGCAATATGTCCACCAATGCGACTACCTTAAGCAGAATGGCACGTTGAACACCAAGCAAGAATGAAGGTTGTTTTCGTTGTCAACCTCTAGTTATTGAAGCATATTTGTTTTCACATTCTTCAAGGTAGTAGTGCCTTTACCAAAATGAAACATGTATTTGATCTTTACAGTCAAAACACATGTTTGTGACTTGGTGTGCTCCGTGCACCTCAAGATTTCACCTACTTCATATTCATGTTTTTCTGCTGTGCAATGTATTAATCTCACTTGATACATGTTTACAGGTCGTATTTAGTTCATCCTTTTTTGTGTTCTTTTTTACCAATATATTTTGCTCAATCATATTGTCAGTCATTGCATCAGCATATTGCTTCATAATCTTTGGTATTTGTCAGCTCCTAAACTGGCTTCAGTTGTTTGGCATCACCTGTTGCAAAAAAGTATTGCTCAACAAACTATTTGGTTTTTCAACAATTTCCCAAACCGATGAAATAGATTTGATCAAATACTATCACATCAAATTCAAAATAAACAAATGGCTCTACTTTAACACCACCAACATTGATACCAAAAAGCTTGTCTAGTGTTATTGCATCACCTCCCAGTTCGTGAAGCAACAATACTGTGTAACAATCATCAACAATTTTCTGGCAGATGTGACGTTAGCCTGCTCCTACAAATAACCTCCTGATCATTACCTGCTGCAGTTTCTCCATTTTACTACCAAATTCATCAGTGCTATACTCATCGATTTGAATTTCTCTCTTTTTGAGGTAGTAGCAACATAGAGGTTTGTATTTACAACTCGGGAAAGCAGCTGTTGAACACTATGTACTGGAATACAAGCATGCTTCAGTTTATTGTGTTTTTGTGTTATATAATTCGAACCAATAAGGTACCGTAACATGCTTCCTGTTCAATTTCAATTGATGAATGGCAACTATGGTTTCCCTCACTTCCTTCTTTAACTTCTTCCCGAGTCACTACACTTGCACATATATATATATATATGTATCTGGGGGCGCTAACATTAGCACTAGCAACTTTAAGTTCAGTAGGTCTTGGAACACTCCCCCAGAGGCCCCTTAATCAGCGCCCGCCCATATATACATATATGGTACAAATCTGGATGTCAAAGAAGACAAATACACGGTAACTTCCTTCGCTCTGTGACTTCCTTCCAGGTTGCTGACGAACTTCGCCAACCAACCTGACACTTGGATTTCATTTCTTGACCAGATCACTTGGATGATGGCGCAGAGTTGTCATGTTTGGTAAGAGACAAAACGACAGCCCACACATGCCTCGATCTGAGGATCTTAACATTCCGCAGGCCTGAAGAGGTTTTAACAATCCATGTCCGAGGGGGTTATTCATCAAGAGTCTACCTTATTTGGTTTCGGTTGGCCTTGATTGTCGGTGTATACATTTCTTTTTTCAATAGATTCATCTGGGAATGTCTTTCGACCGCACCGTCTCTCTCGTTCGCAGCAAGAGGTGAACGAAACTCCCAAACCCACAGCAGTGCAGCGCAGAGGCGATCCGATCCCATCGGAGTTGTTTGTGGACATGTTGTTTTGTTTGGGGGTCCTGCCTACTGCAGGCCTCGATCATTTCTCCTAGTCCAATATAAATGAAGGCCGTCAAATCTTGCCAAGGGTCCCATGCTATTTCAGGGAACCAGGGAACAACATGCATTTTGCGATGACCATCTAAGATGATGGAGAGCTAAGATTAGGAGGACAGAAAGAACTTGATGAGCAACAAAAACAAACCGAACAATACCTAGCCTTTAGGCACTTCTTCAGCCTTTGATCAAGCTAGAAGCCTATAGGAACCACATGCAAGTTTGCCTGAAAACCTAGGGAACCGAATGATGAGCGCGCGAGCTATCCTGCGTCCAGTAGCTAGGAGCGTGTCTCTTCCTCTATCCGCAGGTACAACCACCCCCCAAAAAATTTATCCCGGCAAGAGACCCCAAACAGTGTGTGTGTGCCCCTTGTAGTCACAGGGATTCTTTTGAATAGTTTTCAGCAGGGGAGCGGTGGGCATTCTTGAAGTCACCGCTCAACGAAGACACTTCAAGTTTGCTGTGATATGCAATCTGGACGCAGATTGCACGTACCTGCGAGAAGATGATGAACACATTGACTCTAGTGGTCCGCCCTGGCTCAGGCTGTTTGCAGGTCTTCTCAGGTTGCGGTAAAGTGCTAATGCATTTGCAGTCACGCACGAACGTCGTCAACCTGTCGCGTGATCGTTGGAGCTTTTGGTTTTGATGGCCTTTGAACATTGATGGACCTCCACTTCCTTTTCAGGTTTCCTTACCTGTACCCTTAGGAAATGGTAACCTAGGCCAGCATGTGGCACCGCTGTCAAGTCAATACGCATATCTATAAATGTGTGTGAGAGGTCTGTAAGCAGAAAGTCTAGAGCTAAACGCATTGGGGTCCAGAGAGGTGATGGTGGTGATGAAGTGAAGGTGGGTGTTAGTGAGTGTGGGTGAGAGTGAGCGTGTGTGCGAGTGGAGTGTGAGTGAGAGTGAGAGTGGGAGTGTGAGGGAGTGTGAGTGTGAGTGAAAGTGGGAGAGTGAGAGAGTGAGCATCTGAGAGCACAAAGTACTGCGCCTGCCATGAAATCTGCACTTCGAGGCTCGCCAAGCGCTGTGCCTGCCACGAAATCTGCACTTCGAGGTTCACCAAGTGCTGCACCTGCCACGAAATCTGCACTTCAAGGTTCACAGAGCGCTGCGCCTGCCACGAAATCTGCGCTTCGAGGCTCACCAAGTGCTGCACCTGCCACAAAATCTGCACTTCGAGGTTCACCAAGTGCTGTGCCTGCCACGAAATCTGCACTTCCAGGTCCACCAAGTGCTGTGCCTGCCACGAAATCTGCACTTCGAGGTTCACCAAGTGCTGTGCCTGCCGCGAAATCTGCACATCGAGGTTCACAGAGTGCTGCGCCTGCCAGGAAATCTGCACATCGAGGGTCACAGAATGCTGTGCCTGCCACGAAAGCTGCAAACGAGCCACATGTCCAAAAGTCACGATTCACTGCACCTGTCACGAAATCTGAGCTCTTCAACGATCACCACCGATGTCCAAAGTGCTGCGCCTGCCACGAAAACTACATGTCGAAGTAAAACAGCTCCGATCCCTTGCACCTGTCACGAAAAGTCGACTTGGGAGCACCAAAACACGAGGTTTCCCTGGCACCTGCCACGAAAAGTGACCGCCGTGTACCAAAATGCGCACGGGACCACAACGAGAGCGCAGTCGCTAGAAGCACCCGCCGCGGACACCCAGATTCTGCGACCCTGCGCAGTCGAAGTGCGCATGGACGATGTCGAGAGGCATGAATGTACTGTAAATAGCAGCGAATTGGCCGGACACGCCCGCGACGCACAGCGATCTAAGCACACCTTCCTTTCCCCTACCGTAAGAACCCCTCAGTGTGCCCACACTGCTTGGGGAAATAGGGTAAGCAAGGCCTCAGTCGCACAACCTGTGTCCATAAGCTATAGGAGTCCTCCTGGACTAGTCGATGGACATCGACATCGACATCCAACATGACATCCAACGTCATCCAACATACTGACATTGGTGAGTGAATTAGGATTTTCAAGGGTTTTGCCAAGCGTAACACCCACTTCGATCTCCGAAAGGATCGGCCCGAAGGGAAGATTTGGCGCCACATGAGCAAACCAGCCGATCGTTGTTGGTTTTGTCTGATGTTTCTTTAGTTCAGCAGAGTCTACTTGGGTGACCTGGGTTGTTTAGTCAACGCCGACTCAGGAATTGTTGGAACGACGTGGTCGCTTGATGATACGGCACCTTTGTAAGAACTTGGATTGCCGTCGGCTTTACATCACCGTAGCGTGCACCATCAAAGAGGAGGAGGATAAGGCCTTCGCACAGAAACTGGTGCAAACCTTCAATTGGATTCTCTTGCTTCTTGGTGTGGTGAAGTCTGGTGTGGTTGCTTTTGGCATGGGGTGGAATACTCGAAATTGCTCATGTAGACTCTTGATGAACAAACCCACCCCGACTAATAATTGTAACCATCTCTTCATATGAGAGCTTTATAGAACTTCTATCGAACCACAAAAACCATAGGTGGACCATCGCTAGTAGGTTGGAAGCTACTACGTTGGAGGCCATTGCTAGTAGGTTGGAGGCCATCAATCATCAGGTTGGAGGCCATCGCTATTAGGTTGGAGGCCATCGCTAGTAGGAGGCCATCGCTAGTAGGTTGGAGGCCATCAATCATTAGGTTGGAGGCCATCGCTAGTAGGTTGGAGGCCATCGCTAGTACATCGCTAGTAGGTTGGAGGCCACGGCTAGTAGGTTGGAGGCTGTCGCTATTAGGTTGGAGGCCATTAGTAGTTTGATTGGAGGCCATCGCTATGATGTTGGAGGAATAGTCGGTTGGAGGCCATCGCTAGTAGGTTGGAGGCCATGGCTACATAACGTTGGAGGCCATCGCTAGTAGGTTGGATGCCGTCAATCATTAGGTTGGAGGCCATCGCTATTAGGTTGGAGGCCATTGCTATAGGTTGGAGGCCATCGCTAGTAGATTGGAGGCCACATCGCTAGTAGGTTGGAGGCCATCGCTAGTAGCTTGGAGACCATCGCCACTTTAGTGTGTTTCGTCTATATATATACACATATATATATATATGACATTAGACATAATATTCTCAGATCACATGTGGGCCGTTCTTTAGCCGTAGCCTTTTTTCTCCGATTCAAAAAGCTGCCAAAGGTGCGGTGATGGAGCCGGTGACCGGATTCGTCGCAGCCCGTTGAAGCCGAAGCGACGGCCCGAGGGGGGGCCATTGGGAGCACTGCGAAAATGGGTTGCAATGACTTGTGGGTATCTACTAGCTTAGCCGCAAACAAGCATGTCAAAACCGGTGTTTCTATCTCAAACCGCGAACCGACCGCCACTCACCACCCCAAAACACCAATGTTTTCTGTGCTTTTCATCACCCTCCGGCTGAGGACGGCTGCGGAAACACGTGGCCTCAGGGAAGAGCTTTTAGAAGAGTCTCAAAGTAGCGAGCGGCTCAAGCGTTTGGCAGGCGACATGTCGCGGAAGACATCCGGCAACGGGGAGGTTGCAACTCTCAATTCAACATGGTAATTCCACTGCTCGCCACCACAGCTTGCCGCAGTAAATGCAGCACAAGCTGAGAGTGCATTGAAGGATCCGTACTGAAAACACCGTGTTTTTTGACTCCGGCTTTCATGAAAACTGGGCGAACTGAAAAAGCGTTGCAGGTCAAGCATCAGCTGACAAAGAACGTGAAGAGACACACACACACAGACCCCTGGAAGAAACGCTATTGATTTAGTTTTTCTAAACAATTGTCGATTGTGAGATTGATTTGGTGTTGCCCGATCAACAAATGATATCCCTGATAGAAGGAACAACCCACTAGTCTCTAGACAGTTGTTTCTTTCTTCTTTGGGTTTGAGGGGTGCTCTTGACGGAGCGACTGAGTACTGCACATGAGTGGTGTTTGGGGTTTTCACAACTTAGGCGGAGAGATACGCAGAATGATGGAAGCTGAGCAGATCCCCCGAAAGTCGATGAACATGGTCGTTGTCATATGGGGAAGGGCCATCGGGTCAAAACTTGGAGCACGGGTCCACCATGTAGCTTAACCTTCCAGGTTGACTCACTAGCCGCATTGCGCATCTTCCGTTCAAAGCGAGCTGCTCTCCAGGCGAGGAGAGTTCGGGTTCGCAAAACACCACCACTCCGCTCTTTTTGGAGCTTTTGGAACCCTGGCCTCTTGGAGCGGGCGTCGATGCGCGATGCGCTGTGGGCATGATTTTTTTGCGTGGCTGCACGCGTGAAACTACACGATGGAGTCTTCATTGTTTTTGCTTGCATCGTAATTGCAGCGTTTGCGCTGACTGACCAATGTCCTAAGAGTGGTTTTTTGATGCTGTCATGCTAATTCCTAATGTTCCACAAATGCACATCAGCATATATCAGCATATCGCTTGAATTTCTGGGATGCTAGGAGCTCCCTGCAAATTTGTAAAGCAGTGATCCACATGAGTGAAATAATGCCCTTAAGGCGTTCGGTTACAAGACTGTTCAATAGAAAACCTTATAGTGATGGCCTCCAACCTAACAGCAATGGCGTCCTACCTACTACTGTAGCGACGGCCTCCAATTTGGGTGAAACCCTCAGGTTTCACAACCCGGCCAGTGCTTTGGCGCTATGTTTGTGGTCCCAGCAGTATGTCTTGGCGAGTGAGCTCACCGGGCGTTTCGCAGCCTTTGAACCCACCTTGGACTTCCTGCCGCGGAGATGCACGGAGCGAGGGGGGTTGTGAAGGGGAGGTGATGCGAACGGTGGGAGGCTAGGGGATATCAGAGGGGTCAGAACACAGGCGAACTGTAGACACTGCTGAATTCCCACTACCTCGGGTTGAGACAAGTGACGAACATGGCAACATTGATTGTGTTGTTTTTTCCACAACATCTATGTAGAAGTAACCAGACCTCAAACTCCCACGTTGCTTTCAATAGAAAAGCAGCTGATATGATAAAATCTGCAACAAATCGCACTCCGCCACTCCGTGAAGATCGAAGATCCGCCATGGTGTGAATAGCAGATTGTGAGAAACCACAAAAGGAGTAAAGAACAGTCTCATGTTCTTTGCATGAATACACAAATAACATCCCTGACTCGTCTAGACCTCCAAGCGGACGTGTTTTGGGCGAGGGCTCTGCGCCTCGCCCAAGAAGCGAACTGAATTCTCTTTGTATCTATGTGTACCAGAACACGTCCCATAACATGGTGCGTTAGGTGTATAGTTTTATCGAATCTTATATGAAAAAGCCGACCTTAATATCGCTTTCCCATCAGATTTACAAACAAAAAACTGTATTTATCTTCAGTGGCGTTATCATATATTTCTAGCAATATATGTTTTGCATTATGAATATTATGATATGTAAGGAAATTCTTTTTAATCTACAGAGCCAACAATTCTTCAACCATTGTCTGAACCTCCTTCTAATTCCTCATCTTGAAGAAGTATAACTGTCTAGCATTCTGGGAGACTCAACGGCACTGAAGCCTCCTAGCTGCCCTACCGGGAGAGAAGCTCCTAGCCATGTGAGCTCACTTGCCGGTGGAAAAGTGAGCTCACTTCGCTCGAACACACCTAACACACACCTAACACCACCTAACGCAAAAACACACACACTCTGACATTGGTTTGCTGTTAACTCAATTCCCAGGTGAAAAAAGGTGAGAGAACTGCATGGCGAAAGGTCCAGGAAAGTGTAGGTGTTTTAACAAAAAGGTTTTCGCACTTGACTGCGGAAAGCGCACAGCGGCAGAGCGGCTGCAGGTCAGCGGAGGGAAATGGTTTGTGGGAAGTATCATGAACCACCATGGAAACAAAAAGAGAGATTGGACAGCGTGAGCAACAGTTTCTTGTGCAGGTACGTCGGCAAGTGTCCTTGCCGATATCCTAGGATCATGTGAGGAGTTTCGTTGGATGGAGCCTCACATGTCCTCTCCGTCCCCCTGCTTGTTAGCACAATTGGTAGGAAGTAACCCTTGGAGACAGGGGTTGACACACACACGGTGCCGCTTTGCGGCGCTCGTGCGAAGAGCCTGAATAGTTACCTAAAGAGCCTTAGAACCAAAAGAAAGAAACGCAGAAAGAGCAGCGCTAAGAGGGCAAGAGAGAAAGGTAGGAGTAGAAAAAAGTGAATACTTAGCCCTTGACTGGGGTAGGGAAACGAGCCTCAAGAGCAACCTAAAAAGCCTGAGAGAAAGCCCAAGAAACGACCAAAAGCGCAAGAAAGAAAGCGGGGGGGGGGGAGGGAGGTGTATGTACATGTGTGTGTCCGTGCGTGTGTGTGTGTGT